GCCCCCGCCCGCCGCCAGGCATTTCCCTTCCTTCCCTGCAGAGGAAGCCCTTTCGCTCACGCCGGGACTGACTCGCGGCGGCGAAACGGGGGAGGGGAGGGGAGGGGAGGGGGGCCACGCTGGAGGCCGGCTTAAAGAGACCGCGGTGGCTGCCTGGCTGCCCCCGGCCCCGGGGACCCCCGAGGGGAGCAGGGAAACCAGCCGCTCTCGGGCAGGAAGAGGAGGGGATCTCCTGGGGGTCTGGCAAGGAGCGCCCCCTCCCCCCCCTCCTCGGGACTCTGGCCCCGGTGGTCCTGCGGAACTCATGGCGCCGGGGTCGTCGCGGCAAGGAGAGAGAAGGGCTGGCCGATGGGTTCGAGTTCAGGCGCACCTTAGAGACCAGCAAAGGGGGGGGGGGTATGAGCTTTGGAGAGCACGAAAGGAGCTTTGACTCTCGAAGGCTCTCATTACCACCCCCACCCCCAATCTTGCGGGTCTCTCCGGTGCTCCCGGGACTCCAGTCTCGCTGCTCTCCGGCAGACCGACGCGGCCGCCCCTGAAACTCTTTCTCGTTAGTAGCCAGAAGGGCAAACCGCGCGTTCAGACGAGGCAGTGCGCTCCTGCCTGCCCCTGTGACCCAGCCAGGTCCCTGGCTGAAGTGCAGACCGGGATCGTGGGGCATTCCCCTGGCGTGTGTTGCGGTCCGTCTCGGGGCCCTCTCCCGTCCTCCTTCTCCCCACCCGTCCCCCCTGATTCTCCCCCGGGGTGGCCCCGGGGGCTTCTCGCGCAGCCAGAGTCGCTCCCGCCCAGGGCAGGCTTTGCCACCGGGCGCTGAAGAGCAATTCAGACCGCGAGGGTCAGAAGCCGCCCGAAAGCAAGCCCAGGCGGCGTGAACTCCCCGCGCCCCTCGAAAGCCGCCTCTTGGAAGTGCCTTCAAGGACCGGCTTCGGTGGGCTAAGGAGACGGAGGCTCATCGCAGCGGCTCTCCGGCGACCCGAGAGGGGTCCCATTGGCCTCCGCGGCTTGTAAGCGGCGGACAGTCTCACCTCTTAGGGCTGCTGGAGTCGCCTTTACAGCTTTCCCCTGATCCCAAAGAGGGCGACAACCTAACAGCCTCCTGGAGCGGCCCAATTAGCTCCAGTGGGATTCCCGCCTGACCGGCAGGGGGGCCTTGGCATTCCTTCAGGGTTCCAAGCCCAGCCTCCCCCCGCCCTCCGAGGAGACGCGGCTCACAGCAACGAGAACATTGCGCTGTCTGCCAGTGTACTGCTGCTCACCCTCTACCTGTAGGTAAAGGTTCCCTTGCTCGAAAGCCAGTCGAGTCCGACTCTAGGGTTGCGGTGCTCATCTCCGTTTCCAAGCCGAAGAGCCAGCGCTGTCCGGAGACGTTTCCGTGGTCATGTGGCCGGCATGACTAAACACCAAGGCGCACGGACTGTTAATTTCCATTCCACTGTCTCCGAGGAAGTGCGCGCGCACGCGAAAGCTCATATCTCAGACGAAAACTCTGTGGGTCTTAAAGGTGCCCCTGGACTGGACTCAAACCTTGGTTTGCTCTTTGAACAGCTTTCCCCCCCCCCCAAACTCCCCGAGCCCCTTGTTTGAACCGTGCGCGCCTGCCTTTTACTCCGAAGGCAGTCCCACTGCTTTCATTCCCGGGCAGGTCGGTGTGGGCAGGGGCGCCTCAGAAGTGGGGAGCTGGCATACACCCACCCAATACACGCATATGTATGGGATGAAAGACAGAAGGGATGCTCCTTGGGCTAGGGACGGGGGGGGGGGAGTGCGTGTCTCCCTTCGGGCGGAGGAGGCAGCAGCCCCTCAGGGAAGCGAAGCCGGCCAGCCTAATACCCCATCGCAGCCGGATGACCCTCGCCCCTGGGACTTACCTGAGCGCCAAGGCAGGGTCGGCCTTCCAGCTCAGCTCCAGAGGTAGCCAAACGTCTCCTTTGGCCAGAAGCGGCTTCTGCTGTCCGAGCGAGGCTGGGAAGGTGGGCGAAGCGTTTTAAAGCGCACGTTTACGCTACCCACCCCCCTCTGCGCCCTTTTCGCCTCCTTTCCTCCCTTTCGGGCAATCCTGCTTTTCCCCCCCAGATCAGGAAGGATGACATAATTTCCTCCCCCTCCTCCTCCTCTCGTCCAGCTTCATTGATAATCCCGTCCGGCAGATCATTCTGACGGTTTGACAGAATCAGGAGCTTGGGAGTGGGAATCGGTGGTTTAAATTGATACTGGGGGCGGGGGGGGGAGTCACAGAAACATTCCCTTCCCGGGTCACTCCGCTGAGCGTGTGAACTGTCTTTTATCGACTACTTCTCTGTTTAGGATGATATGAGAAACCCTCTGTTTCTGGTGTTTAAACTATGAGGGCTGCTTCACCCATGGCCAGTCGTCATCCGGCTTCCTGGCAGAGTGCTGGACAGGCAATGGTGAAATCTCTCAGAGCAGGATCTGAGGTTGCATTCAGCATTTCATCCACAGAACAAATGCAGGGATTTCAGAACAAATGGACCGTCGAAGAAGCCAGAAGCTACCAGCTGAGGTTCAGAAAGATCTGGCTGTGTTGTTGTGGTTGTTTTTTTTAATCAAGCTTTTACTCACTATCTAGTTTGGACAAAGTATTAACTTTTGGTCTCATTTCTCTACCCCATTATGGGAATGACAGTACTGTGGAAATAAATGCAGTAGGCACCCTGTAGTAGTACCCTGACCGCCCAGCCTAGCCTGATCTCACCAGTGCTTGAAAGCTTAAGCAGGGTCAGCCATGGTTAGTACTTGGATGGGAGACCACCGCTTAAAAAACAGTGTGGTTGCTATGTAGATACAGGCAATGGCAAACCACCTCTGTTCATCTCTTGTCTTGAAAACCCTATGGGTCATTTTAAAAAAGGAAGGGCAAAAAGTAGTAAACTCCAGAAATGCATGTCCTTAATGTGGGGGGGGGCTACATGGAGCTGCAGGGGCTCAAGTAGATAAATAAGTACCACTTCGGTGGGAAGGTAACAGCGTTCCATGCGCCTTGGTGTTTAGTCATGCCGGCCACATGACCGCGGAAACGTCTTCAGACAGCGCTGGCTCTTCGGCTTTGAAACGGAGATGAGCACCGCAACCCTAGAGTCGGATTCGACTGGCTTTCGAGCAAGGGAACCTTTACCTTTACCTTTAATGTGGGGGCTAGGGAGAAGCTTTTGGAACCATACTCCAAACAGCAGACTTTCTAATGATGCTGCTGAATATTGTGGATTTGGTAGCAGAAAGGACGGGATGGTGGGAAATAAATTTAAACGGTGCTACCCTTTAGTACCACTTGGCATGATCTCTAAGGCAGGAGTCTGCAATCTATGGCTGCAGAGCTGAATGTGGCCCTGTACAGAGTGGAATATAGCTCATTAAAAATGGTATGTGGGAGGGGTAGGTGGGATGCTAGAATAAGTAGTTGTGAAGGGAATGGCAGGCAAAGACTGCAGTGGAACCAAAGAGATGCTTTACAGAAAGGGAATGGAAAAGAGATGAGGCAGCAATCCAAATGCAAACTGCCTGCAGATTTATGCCAGTGTGCTAAAACAATCACACACAGTGCTCCTGTGTATATCTTTCTTTTGAGAGACTTGTGTGTGCCACTTCTAAGAAAGGACTGGCCACAGCCAGTGTTTCAGCTACAGAAACTTTATGGATTATCAGTAATGTTAAACAATACATGTTCAGTTATGCAAATAGGCTTTCTTATATAGGCTTTCTGTTGATCTCCTGCTTTGAATTCTGAAATTGTTGTTTTCTTAAATTTTAAAAGGTTGCTGACTCCGACTCTCAAGTATTCCCTGCTGTTCATGTGTCTGTCCACGCAAATAGTTTATTGCCCAGTATGTGAACATTTCTTTTTCTCTTATATTGAGCCTAGTCCACTGTTCTACTAAATGATGTGCTTCTATTAGCACATTATTATTTCGGTCACTAGGTAGGATGTGATTCTGGGAGGCTAACAAGCATATACTGAATGCTCCAATGTGATAACATATGCAGCTTACCCCTCTATACCTGCATTATTTGTAAATTCAAAATCATTTGTGTATCCTTGGAAGGCTGCTTTCTATTTTCCTACTCCTGAGACAGATTTCCCTTTTTCCTATTCATTCTTCAGTAATGATACTTCAGTAGAGGTACCCTGATGTTTTCATCTATTTCTTTTTTGCCTACAGTGTATTTTGCCTGGCTTATAGTCTTATATGTGGCCAAGCCTTATAAGGCAGGAGAGAGGAGAAGACCCAGCACCCAGCCAATGGCATGCAAGTACTCTTGAGTGGCAGTTGATGGGCCAATGGCTGATGGAGCAAACAGAACAGCCAATGGAAGAGCTGGAAAGTGCCAATATGCCGGGCTAGTAGCAAAGCCCATTGTAAAAGGAATACAATGAGCGCTAGCAAGATCTCAGTCTCACCCTCCTCCTTGGCTGCGTTCTTGTCTATGGGGCCGGTCATCATCTGCACACAGCCCACCCTGCCACCTGCAGCTGTCCACAGGCAGTGGCGACCAGTTCGGCAGCGGCATAGTCAGCCTCGGCCTCCTTACCCTGCAGCCGTCGCCTTGCAGCACACTGAGAGCAAGAGGCTGGGCGCCATTTCCATGGGCTTGCCACCCAGCCGGCTCCCTGCACCCTGGCGTGGCCGACAACGACCTCTGAAGCCTCCACCTGCTGGAGCATCAGAGGACAGCTCTTGCCAGAGGCACCCACGTGGAACATTCTGCGCCCAGGGAAGCGGCAATGGGTGAAGTTGACCCTCCTGCATTGGTCTGCCTCGTCTCCAACAGG